TGTACTGATGAACACAACAATGGACATAAGGGGCTTCTTTCAAAGAAAAAACTCAGGTAGATGTTATTTTATATATTATGCTTCGTATGTTGTTCAATATATTTCTATGCAAATCAAGAGGAATTTCAATACACAGCAGTATATTCACAGTTGAAACCAGATATTTACATACACTTTAGTGAAAAAAACATAAAAAAAACATAAAAACATTTTTTTACTGTTAAACATCAGTTTAGAGTAAACTTGTTTTGTTTTGGATAAATAAATACTGAAATATCTTTTGAATTAGTTAAATGTCAGAATAAAGAGAGACAGAGCTGTCTATTCTTATCACTTTCATCAAATTTAGGAGTACATATACACTAAGTTTATTGTTAATTAATAAGAAAACTGCAGACGATTCCATTCTGAGCTGAAGAAGCTTCTGATTGGTTCGTAGAATCCATGAGAGTAAATTGGTGGCACACCTGTGGATGCATATAAGGCAAAACACAGAGGCTGTTTCTGTGACATGGGAACATCAAGAGATGTCAACCAAAACTCCAGGAAAAGAATTGTGGAGCTCCATAAATGTGTCTCAGTTTGAATACAATTTGGTGCCATTTACAATTAAGAAATACAGATAGTTTCTCTCTTTACTCTTAAAGTTAACAAATATGTTCAGTTCTGGGTTTGGTTGAATTGGGGTTTAGTCCTCGCGTCTTGATACAGCCCTGATTTTGTTCTGCCTTGCTGCTTAATTAAAAACACTAGTTTAAGCTGTCCTGCATATGTGATATATATATTTTATTTATATATATTTTCTTCTTATATGAAGCTATTCTTTTTCGAACAAAACTCAAAACACGGTGTTACGACCCGGCGCAAAGCCGCAACATAAAAAAGGAGACGAATACCAGAGTACGGGTGAGAAGAGGTTTTATCTTAAAATGGAAAACCAGGTTGGCTAAAACGGCTGATGCCACCAAGGAAAGACTAGTGAGCTACCCGGGAAGCTTGCCTCAGGTATGCTTTTATCCACACCTGACTAGGTGGCCAATTAGCACCAGCTGAACACACTGAGCAGATTAGAGGCTGCATTATAGTTGTCATCTCTAAGCATGGATGGGCATGAGGATTTGAAGTTGCCACACTGAACACACACAAAAAGTAACATGTGACCAACACAAAAGGAGCACAACAGTCACAAACCCAAAATGATCACCTGATCTGCTACAACAACAAAACCCTAACTTTACCTACCCTAGTCTTCAGTGGTGTACCTCGAGGCAACTTTAAACGCGAACTCGAGAGCAGGCAGCAGACCAGAGATATAGTCTCCTACCAAACTCTGAAGCGTACCTGCGTACAACGGCCTAATAAACCTTAAACTTTACAGCATGCTTTTTCAATCTTTTGTATTTGGAGCACCAATCTACAAGAAAGATAAGTTACTGAAAAAGTGCTTGAGCTTAAAGTGCTTTGGCAATGTTAAACTTAATCATCATCTCGGCCTCCTCGGACGACCTGTTTGCTGCTACCTGCCGCTGAAAGGCAGC